CAACACACTCTCGAACCTCGAACATGTTCGGGTTCACCCCGAACATGCAGTGTTCGCCCCCCTATCACAAGACATGTTCGTGGAGGTTCGGGCGAACATGTTCGGTGTTCGCCCGCTGCTCATGTCTAGTAGGCACCGTCTGTTTGTACGAGTATGTTTGTACGAGTATGTTTGTGCGAATGCATTTGCATGTGAATGGTATGTTCGTGTGTTTGTTTGCTCTCGCAATTTTTGCTTGATGCGTTTGCAGAAACTCGCGCAATGTGCGCTTCGACACAAAATTGTACGCGCTATGAACAGTGCACGCAGAAAAGGCGAGCTCGCAAATGAACCCAAGATGGATGTTTTGCAGTTCGGTTCATTTGAAATTGTATGGTTTTGTTGAACTATATTTCAGTTACATTTTAATTATATTTCAATTGAGCATATATTTTCTTGGCTTTTTTTTCTACACGATTTGGCGACGAAAATGTTATCAAGGCCAACGCTAGTACGCCAGCACCACGATGCTACGGAAACGTTGATTGGGGTGGAATTAAGGAGCCCTAGCACTTTTTGTGAAGCAACTTGACTCGTTTGAAAGTTCTTGACCGGAGCTTCGATACAGTCGATTCTCAGCTAAATCCGATCGACGACCTTCCCGATCCCCTGCGTGACACTACCACATTACCACCTTACCATGCTACTGCGTTATCACAGACCACATTACCATGTTACCACGTTATAATGTTACCTATAACCCCGTTCATGGGTGTGCGGGTCTCTTGAGACATCGTTGTGAGAAATTCGCCCTTGGCTCGGCTCGCTACTTTCTGTTGTGCACCACGTCCCAGTGGGTAGTTTTTCACCTTTAGTCTTAGAGATTGTGGGTTGAATCCTCAGCATATGCACCTTCTCCTCTCATTATACTCAACCACAGTGAAATGTGGTCACAGTTAGACATGAGCAACGGGCGAACACCGAACATGTTCGCCCGAACCTCCACGAACATGTCTTGTAGGGGGGCGAACACTGCATGTTCGGGGCAAACCCGAACATGTTCGAGGTTCGAGAGTGTGTTTTCAGTGGGCCAACTCCTCCCCCGTGGCCTCCCTCCCCCCCCTTCCGAACATCGAACATGTTCGGCCGAACATCAAACATGTTCAGCCGAACATTTTTTGCCAAAAAACATGTTCGGTTCGGTTCTGTCACGAACATGTTCGGACGAACCGAACAGGTGTTCGGGTTTTTGCTCATGTCTAGTCACAGTTGGCATTGCCGCCTGTCCACTCTCATCTTGCTGGCCCCTATGGTGTGCCATATGCTGCAATGTGGGATGTTGTTCCAGCCTGGCCCGCATGTGCAACATGAGGCCTCACTTGCTAGCTTGGTAAGGTTAGCTAGCCTGGCCCTCAGATTTGAGGTGCTGCAGCTAGCCTCAAGAGTTTAGCCATAAATATATGAGTTCCTACTTCACTATGAATCATCCTTAAATAAGAACATTGCTCTTGTCTCTAAGGGCGTGTAACTTTTTCCGTTTCTGCCAAATGTCCGGACGGAGCCCTCAAAACGTTCGAACGGAGCTCCGTCCGGACGTTAGGGGATGTGGTTCGGACGACAGGGCGTCCGTACCACATGCGTGAAACTTTTTGCAGTTTCGAAAAAATAAAACAGTAACGCGCATAACCAACCTCGCCTGCACATCGCCCAATTCGCGAAATGATTGATTTCCCAAGCGGGAAATCGAGTCGCCAAAAAGGATGAAAACCCTGCTTCGTGCGCCAATGACGTTGCAAGAGTTCCGGACGGTCCGAAATGATGTCCGTACGGTTTCAGCAGCGCAGAACGGACGATGATTTGACAAAAAAGTGTCAGTCTTAGAACGGACGATGGCGAAGTCGCAAGGGGTCTTGCGAACTAGCTAACGAAGTACCGCGAAATGTGTAACCCTACGAAAGTCCGGACGGGTCCTCCGTTCGGACGATGAAAAGCGAATAAAAGTTACGCGCCCTAAGGCTTGTACCATCTTCCTGCTAAGAATATTTTTCTCTTCTCATTGTGCCCTGAACTTCACCGATTCATTTTCGACACTTTCAAAGCACCTCAAACATACAGATTTGGAGAGAAGAAATAAAAGCATACCTATGACGCCGTTCATGGGTGTGCGAATCTCATGCGACATCGTCGTGAGGAAATCCCCCTTGGCTCGGCTCGCTGCCTCGGCCTCCAAGCGGGCGGCACGTAGCTCATGCTGGGCGGCAGCTAAGTGTTGACAGTCGCACTCAAAGGCATGCATGAGTTGGATGCACGTCCAGAGGAGAATGGTGGAGACGGAGAGGAAGAGCAACGCCACCACAATCCAGATAAACGGGCCGAATGGCTTGGTGTATGAGATGTGCCTGTGGTGTGGTGGGACAGAGGACGAGGGGTGGGAGGGGAAGGGGAAGAAGGGATATGTGCCCGTGGTGGGATGGAGATTGATGGGGTGGGGAGACATCGTCCAAAGAGGAGCCCATGATGTGAAGGGGCGAGGTGATCGTATTCAAAGTCAAAGGAGTGCATGAGGTGGATGCACGTCAAAAGTGGAGAGTGGTGAATATACATGTCTCGAGAATGCATGGACGCATGTGTGAGGAGTGTACGTATCATGAACGCATAACGTCCATATGCATATCTTTTGTACTCACGTCCACATGTACACATCAACTCACTCGCAGAAAAGATAGAAGGTTCTCGTCGGATCACCTAGGTACACCTCCCGTTGCACTCTCCCCGCTTCTTGCTCCTTCCCATCCATCATCCATGCTCCAATCTCCTCCTCTCCCACCACCCCTTCATGATCAAACAGCAGCGCTGGCAACCATTTTACAGCCTTCCCATCCTCATTCCTCGCACCATCCCACGCCCTGCCCCTCGTCCCATCCACCAGATAAACCCTCTCGTTCATCTCCACCAGCTGCTGAAACCCCGCAAGCGATCGCAGGTTTGCAAAGTTATACCCGGCGATGACAAACCCTCGGGGGAGGTCCTCAGGGGTGGCGAGTGGGGGGATGATGACGGAGGGAGGGGAGGGCGAGGGGGGCAGGGCGAAGGTGGTGAGGTTGAAGTAGACTGGGAAGGCCTGGCCGATGAAATGGTAGGGGTAGTTGTCGCGGACGAAGGGCGGGGAGATGGCGGAGGAGGCTGAGTCGATGGCCCGGTGGAACGTGTCGTTAAACGCTGGGTCTGAGAGGGTTGAGAGGGTTGCGGAAGAAAGGAAACACAAAACTGGACTCTCTCAGTTGAAGATGACAAAAAGATGCCTACAGGGGCAGACAGGTTGACTGAAACTAGTTCTTGAGAACTCTCAACTCAAGAGTGGCTCCAGTTCTTCTAGCAGCCCAGCCCTTAGGCTCACCTGCCATGACGTCCAGGCAGCAGACTGCTGAGAGGTTCGCGCGTGTCTTGAACTCCTTGCGAGAGTTGAAGATCACCAGCGGTGAATACAGCGGCAGGTCGCGCGGGCGGCAGGAGAGCGTGCCATTGGGCTCGGGGATGAAGATGCAGTGGCGGGCGTTGGTCTCCACCATGTCGCGAATGAATGAGTTGTTGACCAGGAGTGTGAAGCCCACAACTACAGGGTACACGGGAGGGGGAAGGGGGGGGGGGGGGGGGGGGGGGGGGGGGGGGGGACAGGGGAACGCAAGGGGGAACAGCACAGGAGAGTGTGCAGTTGGGCTGCAGTGGTGGGCGTTGGTCTCCACCATGTCGCGAATGAACGTGTTGCTGACCAGCAGTGTGAAGCCCACGACTACAGGGGAGGGGACACATGGGGAAAACGGGGGGGAACAGCACAAAAGAGCGTGCAGTTGGGGTTGGGGGCGAGGATGCAGTGAATTCCGTTGTCCCGAATAAACGAGACGTTGACTAGCAGCGTGAAGCCCACGACTGGCGGATGCGGATTGCGGGGAAATGCAGGGGAACATGGGTTGGGATAGGAGGAAGAGGGAGAGAAGGAGGGAGGGAAGGATGGAGAGAGGCTGGCTTTGTGGCGGGTCAGAAACATCTCTGTGACGCCATGGGTCAATCGGTACACACCACATGCATGCAACTCACATGACGCCATGGGTCAATCAGAGCACACCACATGCAACTCACATGACGCCATGGGTCAATCAGAGCACACCACATGCAACTCACATGACGCCATGGGTCAATCAGCGCACACCACATGCAACTCACATGACGCCATGGGTCAATCAGAGCACACCACATGCAACTCACATGACGCCATGGGTCAGTCACAGCACAACCACATGCAACTCACATGACGCCATGGGTCAGTCACAGCACACCACATGCAACTGACATGACGCCATGGGTCAGTCACAGCACACCACATGCAACTCACATGACGCCATGGGTCAGTCACAGCACACCACATGCAACTCACATGACGCCATGGGTCAGTCACAGCACACCACATGCAACTCACATGACGCCATGGGTCAGTCACAGCACACCACATGCAACTCACATGACGCCATGGGTCAGTCACAGCACACCACATGCAACTCACATGACGCCATGGGTCAGTCACAGCACACCACATGCAACTCACATGACGCCATGGGTCAGTCACAGCACACCACATGCAACTCACATGACGCCATGGGTCAGTCACAGCACACCACATGCAACTCACATGACGCCATGGGTCAGTCACAGCACACCACATGAAACTCACATGACGCCATGGGTCAGTCACAGCACACCACATGCAACTCACATGACGCCATGGGTCAGTCACAGCACACCACATGCAACTCACATGACGCCATGGGTCAGTCACAGCACACCACATGCAACTCACATGACGCCATGGGTCAGTCACAGCACACCACATGCAACTCACATGACGCCATGGGTCAGTCACAGCACACCACATGCAACTCACATGACGCCATGGGTCAGTCACAGCACACCACATGCAACTCACATGACGCCATGGGTCAGTCACCAGCACACCACATGCAACTCACATGACGCCATGGGTCAGTCACCAGAACACCACATGCAACTCACATGACGCCATGGGTCAGTCACAGCACACCACATGCAACTCACATGACGCCATGGGTCAGTCACAGCACACCACATGCAACTCACATGACGCCATGGGTCAGTCACAGCACACCACATGCAACTCACATGACGCCATGGGTCAGTCACAGCACACCACATGCAACTCACATGACGCCATGGGTCAGTCACAGCACACCACATGCAACTCACATGACGCCATGGGTCAGTCACAGCACACCACATGCAACTCACATGACGCCATGGGTCAGTCACAGCACACCACATGCAACTCACATGACGCCATGGGTCAGTCACAGCACACCACATGCAACTCACATGACGCCATGGGTCAGTCACAGCACACCACATGCAACTCACATGACGCCATGGGTCAGTCACAGCACACCACATGCAACTCACATGACGCCATGGGTCAGTCACAGCACACCACATGCAACTCACATGACGCCATGGGTCAGTCACAGCACACCACATGCAACTCACATGACGCCATGGGTCAGTCACAGCACACCACATGCAACTCACATGACGCCATGGGTCAGTCACAGCACACCACATGCAACTCACATGACGCCATGGGTCAGTCACAGAACACCACATGCAACTCACATGACGCCATGGGTCAGTCACAGCACACCACATGCAACTCACATGACGCCATGGGTCAGTCACAGCACACCACATGCAACTCACATGACGCCATGGGTCAGTCACAGCACACCACATGCAACTCACATGACGCCATGGGTCAGTCACAGCACACCAAATGCAACTCACATGACGCATGGGTCAGTCACAGCACACCACATGCAACTCACATGACGCCATGGGTCAGTCACAGCACACCACATGCAACTCACATGACGCCATGGGTCAGTCACAGCACACCACATGCAACTCACATGACGCCATGGGTCAGTCACAGCACACCACATGCAACTCACATGACGCCATGAGTCAGTCACAGCACACCACATGCAACTCACATGACGCCATGGTCAGTCACAGCACACCACATGCAACTCACATGACGCCATGGGTCAGTCACAGCACACCACATGCAACTCACATGACGCCATGGGTCAGTCACAGCACACCACATGCAACTCACATGACGCCATGGGTCAGTCACAGCACACCACATGCAACTCACATGACGCCATGGGTCAGTCACAGCACACCACATGCAACTCACATGACGCCATGGGTCAGTCACAGCCACACCACATGCAACTCACATGACGCCATGGGTCAGTCACAGCACACCACATGCAACTCACATGACGCCATGGGTCAGTCACGGCACACCACATGCAACTCACATGACGCCATGGGTCAGTCACAGCACACCACATGCAACTCACATGACGCCATGGGTCAGTCACAGCACACCACATGCAACTCACATGACGCCATGGGTCAGTCACAGCACACCACATGCAACTCACATGACGCCATGGGTCAGTCACAGCACACCACATGCAACTCACATGACGCCATGGGTCAGTCACAGCACACCACATGCAACTCCATGCATGGGTCAGTCACAGCACACACATGCAACTCACATGACGCCATGGGTCAGTCACAGCACACCACATGCAACTCACATGACGCCATGGGTCAGTCACAGCACACCACATGCACTCACATGACATGGGTCAGTCACAGCACACCACATGCAACTCACATGACGCCATGGGTCAGTCACAGCACACCACATGCAACTCACATGACGCCATGAGTCAGTCACAGCACACCACATGCAACTCACATGACGCCATGGGTCAGTCACAGCACACCACATGCAACTCACATGACGCCATGGGTCAGTCACAGCACACCACATGCAACTCACATGACGCCATGGGTCAGTCACAGCACACCACATGCAACTCACATGTCGCCATGGGTCAGTCACAGCACACCACATGCAACTCACATGACGCCATGGGTCAGTCACAGCACACCACATGCAAACTCACATGACGCCATGGGTCAGTCACAGCACACCACATGCAACTCACATGACGCCATGGGTCAGTCACAGCACACCACATGCAACTCACATGACGCCATGGGTCAGTCACAGCACACCACATGCAACTCACATGACGCCATGGGTCAGTCACAGCACACCACATGCAACTCACATGACGCCATGGGTCAGTCACAGCACACCACATGCAACTCACATGACGCCATGGGTCAGTCACAGCACACCACATGCAACTCACATGACGCCATGGGGTCAGTCACAGCACACCACATGCAACTCACATGACGCCATGGGTCAGTCACAGCACACCACATGCAACTCACATGACGCCATGGGTCAGTCACAGCACACCACATGCAACTCACATGACGCCATGGGTCAGTCACAGCACACCACATGCAACTCACATGACGCCATGGGTCAGTCACAGCACACCACATGCAACTCACATGACGCCATGGGTCAGTCACAGCACACCAGATGCAACTCACATGACGCCATGGGTCAGTCACAGCACACCACATGCAACTCACATGACGCCATGGGTCAGTCACAGCACACCACATGCAACTCACATGACGCCATGGGTCAGTCACAGCACACCACATGCAACTCACATGACGCCATGGGTCGACCGTCGAGAGTGGCTTGAGTGAAGCGCTGGAATTTCTCCACATCGAGAAAGTCCTCCCTCATGCTGCTTGTTCGGGGGGGGGGAGGGGGGGGGGGGAGGGGGAGGAAGGAGGGGTGCGGGGTTGTGTCAGGGGAGAGGAGGAGAATGTGAAAGGAAAATATTTCTTGGGTGGACTCATAATTCCAGAGAGTGGCTTGAGTGAAGCATTGGAGTGGGAGGCGCGGGGGGAAGGGGGGGGGGGGGGGGGGTGGGGGGGGGTGGGGGGGGGAGTGGTGGGGCGGGGTTCGGAGGGAGGCGGAATAAGGAGCTTGAGGCTGGTCGTCGGCATGAGAGTCAGTCAGGGGAGCAGGCAAATGCCGCGCACAGGAGCATCAATAAGCATGCAATGCAAGGCCCGTGGCCTGGCGGCCCGTACTTATCGAGGTAATAGGCGCGGATGAAGTCCGAGACAGAGCGTGTGTTGGCAGCAGTGGTGTTGAACTTGGCTTCGATGAACGCCCCCACTCGTCGCAGTGCCCCTCCAGGTCGTCCCTCTCGTTCGCCCTGCGCGTGCTGCCATGCCACTGCAAACACCAGCGACAGGATGGCTGCGGCTATCACCACCCACAGCCACAGCACTCGCTGGAAGGGGGGGGAGGGGGAAAAAGGGAGAGGAGTTGGGAGAGGGAATGGGGAGAATGTTTATAAGGGTAGGACGGTCAGGAAAGTAGGATAGCTGCTACCACCAGCACATACACCCACGGAACTCGCATTGCACGCACAGCTTTGGGATCAGAACCCTATGCGCGGCGTACGGATGAGAACACGGGTCTACGAAACAGGACACTACGCACGGATCCGAATCCACGCACGGCAAGGAATCGCCCAGCACACGGCGGCGCACAGACAGCAGGTGCGAAGTATTCCCACCGTACACACTTTGCCATGGTGGCTGAAGTTACTCACAAAATCAGCCGCCGGCCAACATGATAGTACGCACCCACACCTTTTGCGTGGTTACATTCACTGGCGGCGTACCAGGGTGGCTGAGTGTAATATAAATCAGCGGCTTGACCAGCAGGTGCGTGGTACTATTCGCGGCGTACCTTGCGCCACGGGTGGCTGAGTCGTCTGAGCGGCCACGACACAAACCACTCCACACTCGTCAGCCACGACTGCCGCCCATGATATCCTTTCGCCTCTTCCGCGGACCCCTCTTCCGCGACCCCCGCAATCGATTCCGCCAGCATTTCCGCCTCCGCCTCTTCTTCCAATGCGCGGAACTCATACCGCCATCGTCAGACTCATTCCCCTCTGCCCCCTCCGCCTCCTCCGCGCGGCACTCTGCCCCCTCCTCCCCTCCGCCCGCCCGCCCTCCGCCGAATCAAGATCACTTCTATCGTCTCTCTCAGTCTCCGTCGCAGCGTCCCTCCCTTCTTCTCTCGCCTCCTCCTCCCCATTCTCCCTCTCGTTTTCCTCGGCCGATGCACATGATGATGCGCCATCGCCGCCATTGAAGCTGAAGCACGAAAAG